TAGAGTTGGTATGAGAATGAACCCAGAAATGGAAAATTTTGGTGGGAAAGAAGAAATCAAAGAGGTAAAAAAAAATTGGTTCTTGTTGCAGAGTAGTCAGGGTAAAGCTTGTTGCCTCCTTCCCTCTCGATCTGCTGCCTCCCCCTCTCTCTCTCTCCTCTCTTTTTCTTCTGTTTATTGGCAGCAAACGTTTACTTTGACTCCCCCTCCCCCTGGAAAAAAGAAACAGAGATATGCATCCATTAATAAAGCCAAAAATGATGGCCCATTCGGCTAAATCTACGAGATAATGTGTTGGAATTATTTATTTCACGAGATAACGTTCTCTCAAGATTAATTGCTGAAGTAGGCCGGGCGACCTACGTCGTGACAGTTTCAGACATCCCATGCACAACCCAACCCATAGGTCGCCATGCACTCCCAGCGACCTCCTAAGTTACCATGCACTCTGGGCGACCAAGGAGGTCGCCATGCACGTCGGCGACTTTGTCTTCTTGCATGGCCATGTGATATTTCTGCACGTCCCGCTCTATGGATGCAACGCATGCATGAGGGAGCAAAGGGTTAAAGCTTGGTCGTCGGGCAGGAATCTCCCAGCTATGACATGCAGGGCGTGCAGAGGGTTAAAAGCTTGGCCGCCGGGCGTGCATAGCGACCTCCTTGGTCGTCCGGAGTGCATGGCGACCTAGGAGGTCGCTGGGAGTATATGGCGACCTATGGGTTGGGTTGTGCATGTCCCATGCACACGATCATTCTCTCGTCGGAAGCTGCCACATGGTTGGTCGCCCGGAAGGCATGGCGACCTACGGCCAACACTGTGCAGTTCGCCCTACTTCAACAATTAATATTGAGAAAACGTTATCTCGTAAAATAAATAATTCCAACACATTATCTCGTAGATTTAGCCGCCCCATTCTCCATTTCTTCTCATTTTCTTTACTGGAAACCGAACCCCCACTTCCCCCTTGATTTATGGTGACATGTGAGTTTAGTGGAGTAGTGTGTGTCAGTAGTGGATTGCATGTGGGCCTAGCAAAACAAAAAAGAAAAAGTTTTAATATTGTAAAATATAATATTATTTAATATAAATACTATATAGTATAATATCATGCGTACTACACAATATAATGTGTATGTTATACCATATAAATATAAATATAAATGTAATATAATAATAATATATGTAAAAGGGTAGGACGAAAATAGGTGTCTACACCTACGAGGAGAAATTTTCAATTTCAATCTTTCATTAGAATTGTTTATGTTTTTGTAATTCTTTTTACATATTCATATTCTATAGATTATTATTTTTTTAACTTACATTCTCTTGTTTGATTATGTGTCAGGGTCAATTTTGTCAAAACCCTAACTTTGGCTAAATTATCCTATCCTATTACATTCATTGTCTTTATTTATATTCTTGACTTTATTTAATCTTCATTGTCTTAATCTTGTTTCCCATCTTTGATTTTCAGCAAACTCTAATTCTCTAGAGGATCCCATGTTTGGTTGGCCGGAAATATCATTCCCGGTAATGTTTTATTACCAATAGTAAATTTTTTGGGGTATATTACCGGGAATGTCATTACCTCCCTTCCCTTAAGTATTGTAACATTACTGACATTTTGGACTAAAATGCCCTTAAATTTTTATTTTTTTTCAAAAATATCCTTCTTCTGTCATTGAATAATAATAATTCTACGAAGGTTAAATTACAAATTTATCCTTAAATTATTTTAGATTTACAAAAAAAAGTCTATAATTAAAATTTTATATGAAGTTCAGGGGTTAAATTTTTTTTACCCTTTCATTAAACCTTTTTCATATTTTTAATTTAGTAAAAAAAATTATATAAATATTATGAATTTAATTTTTTAAAGAAAATATATAAATATTTTATATAAAGATTCCAATAATCTTTTATTCCTTTAACCAAACACGGTAATCTTACACTCCTGCTAAACCAACCAAACACAAAATACAACATTCTCAGTAATCCTATTCACTGGTAATCTTTTATTCCCACTGATAATCTTACATTCTGTGAACCAAACGCACCCTAAAATCCTACTTTTTTCGTTGTTCCCTTTTTTTTTCTATCTTCTCTAGATCTTTTGGTTTAATTCTTCAACAATGAATAACGTTCATCACTCCGCTACCGTCCCCTATCACCCTAACTATACTTTATCACGTGAGAATAGTGGCTGTTGTAATCCCCTTCGAGAACACTTTGCTTTGGTCAAATAATAATTAATATATATATATATATATATATATATATATATATATATATATGTATATCTATTAACATTTTAAAAATCTTTAAATTTCTAACTTGTATCAGGAAAAAAAACTCTATTATCTCTCTGATAATGCCGAAAAACTATAGGACAAGTTCAAAAGGATAAATACTAAATAGGATGAAAGAGTTCAAGACAAGTTTATCCACATTAGTAGAGTTATTCAAGGTGAAATCGAAACAGAACATAGACCAATGGTTTCAAAACTCTTGAGAAGACTTATCCTAAAAAGGAGATGATAATGAAATTGTTAAATACTATTCTAAAATTTTGAGAAATTAAAGTGACAACTATGTAAAGTTTGGAGGACTTGGGATAAACTCTTTATGAGTTCATTAATATGTATTCTGCGATGACTATCGAAAAAGAATTTAAGTACTTGGATGACCTCAGTAAAATTATCACATTGCTAGTTCCATATGTAGTGTAGTTGAGTATTTTAGTAATTTTTTTTTATAATCACTTATATTTAGGTATATTAATTGATTAATTTAAATTAGATAATATAAAAGCTAGTTGTTGAACATTCAATCAAGAGGAGATCTAAAACGAAGGAAATGGTTTAGAAGCAGAAAGTGCTCGTAAATTTCATTGCAAAATTTCTAAGAAAAAGAGTGCTTTCTTTTTCGACTTTCTGAAAATCAAACACATTTAATTGTGCATGATAACTTTCAAGCACCTGAACAGACACTGATTTAGTAAGAACATCTGCAACCTGACAGTGCTCGGGAACGTGATTAACTTGCAAGGAATGAACCGCAACCTTTTCACGAACAAAGTGAAGGTCGAGATCGACATGTTTAGTCTTCGCATGATGAACTGGATTTGCCGCCATAGACATCGTACTAGTATTGCCACACCAAACTTTGGGCACATCGACAAGATGCATCCCCAAATCAGCGAGCACTGACGAAACTCACATGGGTTCTGATGTAACATATGCTAAACTCTTCTACCTCGCTTCTTCTGTCGACCTTGAAACACCAAGACAAAAGATGGCATCCCAAGAACACACAAAAGCCGAATACTGATCTACGATCATCGATATCACTGCCCCAATCGTCGCCAGTAAATGAAGTCAACGCTAAATTAGACAAGTCCTGAGATGAGAACCAAAGGCCAAAATCAATTATTCCTTTTAAGTAACGTAGAATCCGTTGAATAACTTACCAATGAGCATCTTAAGGATTTTGCATAAACTGTATAATTTTATTAACCGTAAACGAAATATGTGGTCGTGTGTGACAAATATATTGCAATGCCCCCACTACACTTCGATAGCCTTAAGCATTGTTGAGAGGTTCACCATCATGTTTACTCAACTACGGATACGTTACCATCACGAGATGTTTGAACCGTAACAACCCAAGGTTCTTTAATAAAAATTGATCATGTAACTTTCCTATAATATGATCCACATGTACAATAGATGACCCAGTAACTAATATGTCATCTACATATATCACAATATAAGTAACTACTGCATCAGTCTTATAAACTAAGAGTGAAGTATCTGCACAAGTGGATTTAAATCCCAGACTGCAAAGATACTTTAGTTTCAAAAACCAATTTTTAGGTATTTGATGCAGCCCATATAAAGCCTTCCGTAACTTGCAAACTGATACCTTATATTGCTTTTTAATCCTTCTTCCATGTGCTTATTTTTTTTTTCTTTTTTACACAAGAAAAACGACACAAGGAATCAACAACTCACTCAATATCGTCTCCCATTATAGAGATAAAAATAATAGTCCCCACCATTACAGTTGTCAAAAATTCTCAACCTCACTGACATTTCAATAACGTGTTCATCTAAATATCCATACAAACAAATATGTATATTCTTAGTTTAGTATGAAAAAGACTGCAATCTTAAGTTGTCGGATTTCTTACACTGAACAACCTTTTGTTAATGTTCACAGACTGGATGATCTCTGCAAAAGTTAGAATCATATATTCGTTTGGAATATTACTGTTTTCTATTTAATTAAAGTTCATCAAATATTCTTCTCCAGAATCAGAATAATAAAGGGTTTCGAAACAGGTTTGTTCATCTGTCCATTTTCCAGATGCAACCAAGAAAACTTCATATGTTACTACTGTGCTGCTGCATGTACAGAACTGTAGTAAGAAAAATAAAAGGACAACATCAGCTCACCCTTGTGCAATGGCCGGTTTCAAATTCTGACATTTTGAATGAAGTGAATTATATTGAGAGGGCATCTTCCTAAGAGACCTCTTTAGTATTTAATTTAGATTAATCGATCAAATATCAATATGATCTAAAAAACAAATGGAAAACATATATATATATATATATATATATATATATATATATATATATTGGAGTGTGTGGAAATGTGAACTGAGGAAACTTCTTATAATTGGCAATGGCATCTATCATGAAGATTCTGGTTAACATTAACACTTGCACGAAAAATAAAATATTGAAATGGAATCTTAAGGTAAAACTCATACGAGAAGAAATAGTTTCAATCTTTCAATTCATATCTAAAAACCTCATGATCTCTTGTATTTTTTAAATTTACTTACAGAATTCTGGTTTCTTTAATCAGATCACACCCCACATAAACATACATTATTTCTCAATTACACAGGCTGGCATAAAGCTATGCAATGAGCATTGCCCAAAAATGGGGCCGATGAGCTAAAAACAGTTGATTACTTCAAATCAAAAACTAATCGACACCAAGGTTTCAGTTTTCACCGCGATCGGAAAAAGAAAATACTAAGCTCATGCCCCATGTTGTCATCGGGATCAATCAAATGGAACGATTCTGTATCAGATGAACCGCGAACTCTCTCAAAGTTAGCCCTCAAGTACATAAGTTCATCGTCATTATCGAGCTGTTTTCCGTTCATTCTTCCGGCACCAACAACGACAGAACTCATTAGCCTTAAAGCATCCACATCAGCTTTTGATGGCCTGCGTTTAACTGCATACCCGACTTTCCTTCCATTACAATACATGGTCCACAATGGCATCGACAAAACCGAATCTGAACTCGAACAGCTCGCCAAACCGGTGCAGTCCATCGCAATTCGGAGGATACCGCCCTGCATTTCTTGAGCCAAAACAAGTGTAGGGACGGTAAACTCTAGAAGGAGAATTGGGTTGGTGGACTTGGAATTTGCTTGGATACAGAAGCTGAGTCTTCCCCTGCGGTAACCGAAGATGGTACCTGTAATTACGCTAGAAAAAGTATTGTAAACGGGCTTCGGATAAGAGGTTTGAAAGCTTTTGTGTTTGATTTCTTCAGGTTCGACGAAGGCGCGGTTGCAGGTCGGAATAAGGAGTTCCGTAAGGGAACGTAGAAGGCGCCATGAACGTACTTGTTTCTGGCAGTCGACGGATGTAACACCGTTTGTTATATGGGTGGCGGTGGCAAGAATCGTTGGGCAGGACATGGTTATATATTTGCCCTTATGTCAAATACTCAGGCTGGCTTGGGGTTCTTGCTGATTTGGTTTAAGCTTATACCATTATATACAGGAGAGGAGTAGTATTTTTATTATGGGTAAATTATATGATCACTAGTATTTTTATTATGGGTAAATTATATGATCACTTAACTATTTAGTCGTTTTATTTTTGTTATTGAAATTTTAATTTTGTTAATCAACTATTTAATTATTTAATTGTTTCAATCAAATAACTATTTGTTAATCGTTGATGAAAATGATAACGTGATAATTAAAGAAATTGACATAATTATATATTTAGTCCTTAATAATTATATACTCTATTAACTCGATCATAAATTTAATTTAATTTAATAAATTAATCATATAATCATAATCTGACACGTGTCAATATATAATCATGACACATATCATTAATGACACATATTAATAGAAAGATTTTATATATTAATTTTAATTAAATATTTTTTTATCTAATTACGAGGTGACACTTACCAGCCGATTGGACAGAAAATAAATGATAAAAAACTACTCTCAAGGGGTATCAAACTCAAGACCGAAAGGGGAGATGTTAAGCGCCAGAACTACTGCACCAAAGGTGCCAATTGATCTAGAATTACAACAAATTGCATTTATCCTTTGAAAGGTTGCTAATGGTAAAAGAAATTAAAACTAAAATGAAATTATAATTAAAATTAAAATTAAAATCTAGACAAATTAAATTGTAAAAGAGTACATAACTAATTAAAATATTTTAATTATATTTAATAATTTTAGAATTAGTGTATATATAATTAAAATGAAATTATAAAAAAATATAAAAATATTAAATCTAAGATATAAAATATAAAAATCTTAAATTTCATTGATTATAATTTAAAATGTAATAAAAATATTATATTTTTTAAATTATTTATGCGCTTTTTTACGTTTCAGTTTGTCTAGATTTTAATTATAATTTCTTTTTAGTTTTACTTTCTTTTACCATTAAAAACCTTTCAAAGGATGAATACAATTTATTGTAATTCCAGATCAATTGAAACCTTTCGTGTAGTGGTTCTAGCGCTCAACATCTCCCCTTTTGGGCGTGAGTTTGATTCCCCTTGAGAGTAATTTCTTATCCTTTATTTATTATCCAATCGGGTGGTGACATATGCCACCTCCTGATTGGATAGAAAATTATTTAATTAAATTAATTAAAATTAATATATAAAATCTTTCAATTATGTATTTACATATGTCACTAATGATACGTGTCATGATCATATATTGATACGCGTAATGATCATTTATTGATACTATGTCAGATTATGATTACATAATTAATTTATTAAATTTAATTTAATTTAGGATCAAATTAATATAATATATAAATATTGATGACTAAATATATAATTATGCCAATTTTGTTAACTACCATGTCATCATTTAACAGTTAGTGGCTTGATTGAAATAATTAAATAGTTAAATAGTCTATATAACAAAATTAAAATATTGATGGTAAAAGTAAAAGGGCAAAATATTTAAGTGGTCAACTGTATAGGTTACCCTTTTATTATTTACATTTGATTCACTATAATTATAAGTTGATTAGTTATTAGTCAACCACAGCGTGTTTTTTTATAACCATCGGTATTCTATCTATTAATTGATTAATCAGAATCGGGTACTGCAGAGACAATGACAGTCCTTCCAACTCAGTTTACTCCATTCATAATCGCTAGAATTCAAACCCCTAACCTTATTTAAGGGATATAATATCTCATTCCACTAGACCAACTGGTTGTTGGTAATGTATCTCTTATTTAGGCTTCTTCTTTTATAAATAAGTTTTGTTTTAAAATATTACCCAATAATTAATATTTAAAATAATAGTTATATCAGTCTATTTTTGAATTAGTATTTTTTTATATCACATAAAATAAAATATGTTATATAAATATGTTTTTTCTGGACATTGTTTTTAGTAGGAAACATCTTTACTTATGTGACAACAAGATTATTAGAATTTATAAATGTTAAACCAAAATGAAAATAAAAGGAAAAATAAAAAAATACCCTTAAATCATCAATTATGAATTTTAGTGACTAAAATTATAAAAAAAATTATATATTTGTATTAAAAAAAGTCTCCATCATTCTTATTTGATACATATTTTAGTGACAAGGAATATAAAAAAGTTTATAACAACTAGAATATTTATAATTGAAAATTTTCTCTATTATTCTTATTTAATACCTATTTTTGTACTTCTATTCTCTCTTTTTTTTTAAAATGAAAGATGCCAAAACCAGGCTTGGGTTTACATTGTTGCAGGAGAAATGACCTCCCTTACGTCATTACGCAAGAAAGGAACCTAAGCAGCCGGGGGAAACTGATGAATGAACAATTGAGAAGAGTTCAAAGGTGCCATTTTAGCTAGTCTGTCAGCCACATCATTTGCTATACGAGGAATCCAGCGCAATTTCGTCTCCCAGTCGCGTCTACGAAGGGCCGTGATGGATCGAACAAGAGAGTTGGGGTTGTTTCTCGCCATTTCATCCTCAAGGATTGTGACAGCCTGCATACAATCAGTTTGAATTTCCAAACGTGCAATACCACGACCCTAGGCCAGTCGAATACCTTCATAGATACCCAAGAGTTCGGCTTGAAATGCCGAGCTTTGGCCAACAAATTTGCTAAACCCGCAGAACGATGTACCATCTTCATCACAGGGTACTCCACCGGATACCCCAACTCTAATGTCAAGGTTTGTTCCTCCATCAGAATTCAAACACGTCTACCCCAGTAGAGGTTTCAACCAAGAATATTGTAACACCCTAAACCAGTACGATACATAGTCGACCGATCAGAATGTCACACAGAACCACCGAAGTGGCTAACCAAAATTTTCCCTTTTTAAAAATGACGATTTGTAACCACTCATGCTAAAATAAATCAACTATAATTTAAATAAATAGTTTACATTAAGAGCTCCCAAAATAATATTTAAATCATATAAACCATAGTTTAAAATGAGTTATGACTCATACAAAAATATACAATTAGGGGTTTACAATTATACATTCCCTCTAAAGATGAACTCAAGATGTACTTTGCACTATCTGGGTATGGATCACTAGTGTCAAAAAGTCCTCGGACTGCTCCTCGACTAACCTACATAAGGAAACAAATTACAAACGATGAGTTAACTAACCCAATGCCACACTAACAACTAAGCCATACTAAAAGTGTTCATGACATGCTCAAGCTAACTAATAAACTGAAATAGTGAGTATACTCGTATATTGCACTCTCTACTCTATAGTAGATATCATGGTGTGGCTGAGGGTTTTGTATCTCGGAGCTCACACACCCCTCTAGTCTATCGAGACTGGTTGCTCGGAATCTCTGCATCGGTCAACCCCCTCGACTGGCTCACTCATTGAGTGTCAGACCTTGCGCCCAAGCTAGTTAGCTTTAAGTGCCTCGTGCACTACCTAAGGATATATCCAGACTAAATCTATACTTTCGATAATGCTAGCATTTCTAAGGGAACTCGGGTGTCCTGGTCGTCCGAGCATCATTCAAGGCTATTTTTATGTCTTCCTAATTGATCTTGTTTCTAAGTGTAATATTAATATCATTAATATTCTCACTTGCAGTCTTATTTGATGATATAATGAAGTGTTGGGGTACCTCCAGTCTAATTCCCTTAAAAACTGACATTTTTCCCCAAAATAGACTGAAAGTATCGATACTAGCCCAAGAGTATCGATAATCTTGCAAAAGTTTCGATACTTTATATAAGTATCGATACTTTTAAATATTTTGTTCTACCCAGTTTCGAAACTTTATGGGAGTTTTGAAATTATGACCCAAATTTTCAATACTCTTGAAAGAGTATCGATACTCTTGCCTAGAAACTCATGAATTTGCCCAAAACGAAGAACAAGTATCGATACTATCCTAATAGTAATGATCTTTGCCAACAGAAATCATAAAACACATACTAAAATGCTATATTTCAATCCCAAAGACCTTAGTGAGGTCCCCAAACATGCTTAAAGTTTTATTTCATCAACAAGGGTCATACTAGAGGCTTTAAACACATTTATAACTCTAAAACAAGAATTTCACCATGAAAATGCTTATCATGCTCAATCAACCATTTAAATTATTTTGAACTTCTAATGACTCACTAAGAATATAGAAGAGTTGTAAAGGTGTTACCTTTCTTATTTGGTGGGTAGAACTCTCCTCAACTCAACCAATGCTCAATTTTTCTTTGCCTTTTGATTTGGAACTCTCTCTCACTTTCTTCACTAAAAAGTGAAAGAAAATGGATTACTAATCCATCTAGAGATTTCCTTAATATCCAAAACATAGCTAGAATCCATAGATTCTCACAAACCTCTCAAAATCCATTTTTTCTCTATGGATAAAAATTAGTGAAATGGAGCTTAAAATAAAGCTTGAAGGGTGAGAGTTAATAATCTTACCTTTGCTTGACCCAAACTAAACTTGAAGTCCTAAATCCTTCAACTTGAAGATGGGAGAAAAAAAGAGAAAAGATTGAAAAAGAAGATAAGTGTTTGGTGGGAAATGGGGAGTTGTTAATGTATATCTTATAAAATAGGGAAGTTTTTTAGCTTTTGAATTAAGAATTAGGTAAATTGCACTTTTAGTCCCTTTATTTTCTAATTCATATGGCATTCATCTCTTACCAACTAATTCTTAGGCCCAACTCAAGCCAAATAACACTAAACTGGTTCCAAATATTTTATAAGGTCCAATTGGGCTTAACGTTAGGCTTCGAGTTGACCTGAACTACTAACCAATGATTCGGGGCTTTACAACTCTTCCCTCTTAAAAAGAAATTTCGTCCTCAAAATTTATCTGGATAGAAAAGGTGCGAATACTGGAGCTTCATATCTTCATCTGTTTCCCAAGTAGTTTCCTCAACCTCGTGATTCTTCTAAAATACTTTTACCAAATGGATCTTTTTATTTCTAAGATCTTTCACT